GCTACTGAGTACCTGCCTGGACTTCCGTCCTTGGCTGGACCTTGTACCTACATGGGCTCACTTGCCACGTGACAGGCATTCGAATCTCACCTGGGGTCTCCTCACCACAAGACCACCTACCTGTGAGCCTAGCTCTGGCGGACTCTAGTACCTACCCAGCTGCGTACCCCGCTCTGTCCCCAGGGACGGTTCCTGCCACTGCCTGTTTCTGGGTCTCCCAGCTTGTGGGTGCCTCTGATCTCAGACAGGCCGAATTCTCAGCTAGGCCCCCAGCCAGGTCCTCAGACTCCTTAAAAGCAGGGAGCAGTGTGTGTATGGGGGGGGGGTGTACCACAAAGATTAAAACCCCAAACTTGAATAAATAAAGGATCCAATATATTCCTCCACACTAGATCCAGGGACACACATAGGATCCCCAATTAATGAGAACAGAATTGTGCAGAAATCCCATGGGACCATACATGTCAAGAGCTGGTTACATGGAAAATAACAGAATGACAAGAAGTAATGGTGGAGACAGAATTCGTGGAAGGCCACGGGTCTTGGGTCAGCTGAACCTAGCTTCGTTGACTAGTTATTTATCAGCGGTCATCTTGAGAAGTCTTGTTGACCTCCTTGACTACAAGATCAAGACTAATATATGCCTCAAACCTCACTGCTGCGTGAACTGAACTTTGCACATCCGGGTCCGGTGCTGTGGATGCTGGGAGGTCATCATCCATCCCCCACCTGTCTGCAGTGTTTAAGCAATGGCCCCTGTTCTGAGGGTGAAGGAGAGAAAAAGAAAGAGGAGAAGATGAACCAGGATGTTGGGCGAAGAAGAAGGAGAAGAAGAAGAGAAAATACTGAGTTTCTCCTGGAAAAATCTGTCCTATGTATGTAGTCACTCGATCTTTAAATCGGATGAGTTCTAAGTAATAATGACCTTGGGTTAGGCTCACATCTCAGTAAACGGGACAGACTGCCCATGACCACGAGACCGTCCTCTGCCCCGCCACCCACTGGCTAACCCTCCTCCTGGACGGATGCGGCTCTGGTCACCACAGAACCAGTGGGGCTCCTTTATCAAGCACCCCGGGATCAGCTGTTCTGTTCTCTGTTGTCTCACACACCCCAGCGGGCAGATCAACCCTCTTAAAGAAGGTGTGCTGATCGACTGAAGTAGCTTCTGGTTTGAACAACTTAAACGTTAGCTTGTGATGATGCCTTTAATGGGCGCGTTCTCTCGCCTCCGCGCCCGCGGTGGCCTGGTGCTCAGGCTGACCCTCAACGGCACCGACGCCTTCTTCTGGCTTCTGTGAGCTCCGGAACTCTGAGGACTCAAACCATCAAGGGTACCGAGCGCAAATGTGTCTCAGTAAGTAACGTTTCTACAACGTTGTCAGGGACCGTCTAAAAAAAGACAACACTAGCCCAGCCGGTGTGGCTCAGCACGGCCCCAGGGACTGAGAGGCCCTGGTTTGATTCCCGGTCAGGGCACATTCCCCAGGTTTTGAGCCCCAGTAGGGGGCGTGCAGGAGGCAGCCGACTGATGTTTCTCTCTCACATCGATGTTTCTCTCTCTCTCTCTCCCTTCCTCCCTCTCTAAAAAACCAACACAGACATATTTAAAAAGAAGACAAAACTATAGGGACAGAAAGCAGACCAGTGGCTGTAATGAGCAGGGACCAGACTGACTTCAGAGAGGCAAGAGGGAACCCTCTAGGGTCACACAACAGAATTCCTTCTAAAACTCCACGAAATGTGGCTTCTTCCCCGTGGCAAAGCCAACTCTCAGCGACTGGACGCAGGAAACGTCCTCAGCGAGTACCTGTTTCGGTGGTGAAGTCATTTCGAGCGAAGCTATTTCAGGAAAGGGGGGGTTGGTGTGAGGCGCCCTAAGGAAAATGGATCTCCATGGCAATCTAACACAGGAGCTGCCGTGGCCCACCCCAGGGAGACAGGAGACAGAGGGCGTCCATTTGGGGGTTATTTTTGGCGCCTCCCTTCAAATACCGAGCCCAGCTCAGCTGTTCCCAGGTCTGGGCCCTCCAGACCCCTCCAGACCACTGCTCACACTCCGAGGCAGGCATCTGACTGGCCCATCCTTCTGCCCGCCAGCAAACCCACAGAACCAGAATCCTTGGGCCAGCGTCATCCCCGACCAGTTAACTGCTAGGTGGGGCCCAAGGAAAGAGACAGCCTGTATTGTTCCTGTCTAGAGAGTTCAAGGGATCCCCAGGCGCATTGTGGATGTCGGGGGGTAACAATGCAGAGTGACGCCGCAGAGTACACTGCCAGGTGGGGGTGGGCCCGGGGTCTGCAGGGTGAGCAGGTGCCTACGGGGTGCTCAGGAAGGTGTCAGGGTTGGGTGACTGCAGATGCGCCCCTGCCCCACGGTGAGGATGGCGGTGGCATCCTTGGTGTCTGGGATCACTGGTGCCCAGCTCTGCCCGCCTGGGGCCTGGGCTCTTGCCCCTCTCCTGTGCTGGCTGGGCCATGGGACTGGCCTGGACCCATGTGAGCGGAAGTGAGGGCCGCTTCTGGCCAAGCTTTGCCCTGTCAGGGTGCCATTCACCCTGATCTCTTCCTTTGCCAAGGCTGCTGGCACGTTGAGACAGTGCCAGGCACCTTGAGCACCCTGCCCATGGGCTCCCCTGAAAATTTGTTTGCACCATCCAGTTCCCAGTGATGGCTCCTGTCACCGGGTGCCCGCTCAGTGCCAGGCGCTCCCCCTGCTGGGACCACACCAGGGAAGAGCATCACCCTCCTCACAGGCTTAGAGTCAGCAGGGGACAGGCACCCACGATTTATTACTGATTATGACCAGAGTCTGCCCGATTCTCTCTTCCACTGAAGGAGCCTCCTGGCGCCTTTGGATAACGCAGTTCCTCCCCATGTCAGATCCGCTCCCTGTCCATTCCCCTCGGTGAAGCTCGAACACAGAACCGTGCTGTCTCTCCCCAGGTTGGCTGCGTTCTCCAGGGAGACTCCTGGCTCCTGTCCCTGGGAGAGGGCACATGTGGGCAGTGGCACCTGGAATCTGCAGCAGGGGAGGCACAAAGGTGAGCCCCGCCCCCCTGCAGGGGGCAGCTACAGCAGGGTGACAAGCGGTCCTGGGGGAGCCCTGCCCGGAAAGCGGAGCCTGCATGGTATCTGTGCACAGCAGGGGCACTGTGGGACCATGGCAGCAGGAAAACACTTGAGGGCATGTATTTTTATCCTTTTCCAGTCAACAGCAACATTTGAATCCATAGGGTCTGAGAGCTGCATGTCATCCCTGACCCGACACTGGCCCTTGTGGTGAGGGGGAAGACGCACTGTCAAGGACATCATCTGATCATTCGGCAGCTCTGGAACACGGGCCTAGATTAGACACATTATTTTATTGATATACACTTATAAGTCTGGTGACTGTACTGCGGTTATGTCAGATAACATCTCTCCTCTTAGGAAAGACATCTGAGTATTCAGGGGAAGGTGGCCACAGGGCATTGAACCCACCTGCAGGTGATGCAGGAGAGTGACTCAGCTGTCTCTGCACACAGGTGCCTTCCGGCCCTGCAGAGGCCCTGCGCTCGGAGGGGGCAGGCTCTCCTGCTCACGGGGCCTTCAGCAGAGCAGGAGGTTCAAGCTGCTACACCTGTGAGAAGCTGAGCACAGTCGAGTTTTCTGTTCTTTCATTTTCTCTCGAGCCTCTGTTTCACCCAGGGGTCCTCTGTGTCCAGATCTCCCAGGAATGGAAGATGCTCCACACCACTCTCTCAAGATTTTCCCTGGTTTTCTGAGCTCGGACCAGTGGGTCGGCGCTTTCAGGAGGCCTCCTTCAGGATCAGAAAGGGTGGCCTGCCATCAGTGTGTCCATCCACAGGGGTGAAGGGACTATGAAGTGTCCCCAAAGGGCTTTGGCATCCTTCTGACTCTGCACTTACCAGCCACTGGGCCGTGGGCGAGTTATTTAACATCTGGGAGACTGGTTTCCTGGTCTGCACGGCGGACCCCTCTCAGGGAGGGCCTTGGAGGCCACAGCATGCTGGGAAGGTTGGCCACATACGTGTGCTTCCTAAAGGTAAGTGATTGTTGTCACTGTTTTTATAACATGGAGACCCAGAAAAAGACATAATTATCCCACTTGCGTTGTAATTTTGGCCCGCAGAGACATTAGCGATCACGTGAATGCCACGGGTTTCTATTCATCCAGGCGCTGTCTGTGCCAGTCACTAGGTGTTACAGGTACGGTTTTATTTAACTCCCAGCACATCACACTCAGGCGGGCTTATGAGCCCATTTCAAAGGACACGGAGGCTTGTTCGTGTGGAGAACAGATGTAGGGTCTCCCCGCTCCACCAACAAGCACTCCAGTGCTGCCGCGCAGACGGGGAAACTGAGTCTCACAGGTGAGTCCCCAGACCTGGCTGGCTCTGAGCTGGGAGCACACACCCAGTGTCCCTGATCCTGGCCAGGACGGCCCCCCCAGAGTCCCGGACAGCGAGGCTCCTCTGTGCCATCCTGCTGCGGCGCCCGGAATGCAGGGTTTGGACTCTCAGGACTCTGAGTTTCAAAGAATTCGCTTACAAATTGCCTCTCGGGATAGGTCCGAGGTATCCTTCCCTGGCGCCCGGGCCTGGGATGTCGGGGTCCGGCGTCCCGGGGTGCCGAGAGGCAGGACGAGGGGTCCAGGCGCCCACGCCCTGGTGCCCGCCCGCGTCCGGCCCGGGCAGCTGCCACTAGAGGGTCCAGCCCCGCGCCCGCGCCCGCGCCACGCCCTGCGCCTAGGCCCCGGCTCCGCCCGCGCTGGCGGCCAAGCGGTCCGGGCTGCGGCGGCGGCGGCGGCGGCGGGAGGAGGAGCAGGAAAAGCGGCCGGGGGAGGAGGCGGAGGCGGCGGAGGCGGAGGCGGCGGCGGGCGGGGCCGGACTAGTTTAAAGCCCATCGAGGGGGTGGGGAGGCCGGGAGGAGGCTGGCAGGACCGAGCGGCGCGCAGGCAGCGGGGCTCAGCGCTCGGAGGCCGCGGACACCCGCGCGGAGCAAAGTTTGCGCGCAGCCCCTCGGGGGCCCGGGACACCCCGTGCGCTACTCTCTCTACGGCCGCAAGGAGGGTCGCCGGCAGCCACGCGGAGGTGGCCGGGAGAGGCGCAGCGCAGGTACGGAGTTGGGCGGGGAGCGCGGCCGCAAGTTACTTTGTGGTCGGCGCGGCGGGGCCCGGCGGGCGGGCGGTCCCCGCGCCGTCATTGTCTGCGCGCTAGCCGCCGGGCCGGGGACGCCGGGCGCCGCGGGGGCGCGGCGGGCGGAAGGGCGTCGCCTGCGGGCCGGGGGCTGCGGCGCCCCGGGCTAGCCCGGTGTTGCGCGGAGGCGGGGAGCGGGCTGCGGGCGCGGCGAGCGGGCCGGGCTCTGCGCGCGGGTGCCCGACCCCGGGGAGCCTTGGAGTCGGCGGCGCCTCCTGGAACCATCCCGTCCGACGCTGGCAGCTCGGGGCCAGGCTGGGTGGGGGCTGCGCAGCCAGGGCTATGGCCGCGCTCCCGGGTCGCCCGCAGGATGGGCGCCCGCGCCCCGGCAGCCCCCAGTGCGCCCGCGCCTGGCCGACCGGACACTCCTCGGCTCTGAGTGGCCCGGCCTCGGGATCTTTTTTTTGGTTCCGTTAGTGACCCCGTTACCCGCCGCTGGGGCCTAACCCCGACTGGAGGGCTCGCGGATTAGCCGCCCGCCAGCCGTGGAAACGTGATAAGAGACGTGCGGTTTGCAGAAGGAAATTTCTGATGCAACTCTCCGCCTTCGCTGATTGCCTCTCCAAACGCCTGCCTGGAGAAGGCCCTGCAGCATGTGCCTTATGGAAATTAGGGTACTCTCTACTTTTTATTGTGTTCGTCCTCTCTCGGGATTGGAAGAAACGCCAAACTTTCGTCCTCTCCTTTGACGGACGTTGGGAGCTGCGGGGAGCCACAGGTGATCGGGACCAGGTCTGGGTCTCTGGCCCGTGCACGGGAAAGAATGCTTTCTTGCAAACGCTGTGCCCCGTTTAATCCAAGAGATGCAGAGAAAAGACCCAAACAAGTAGCGCTCGTGAGTAAATAGGCGTCATTGCACAACTTTCTGGGTGCTGCTGTTTACCAGGCCCAGAACACTTTGTTTCCGAAAACGCCGAATCAGCCGTTTGGAGCCCCCCAGCTTCAGAAATGGTGTGCTCGCCTCCACGTTGCGCGGAGCCGGCCTCAGAACACATGTTAGCGTGGCCAGGCGCTGCCGCCGCTTCCCAGCACAAAGCTGGTGGTTCCCCCGCGCTGGCCGAGACCCTCCGCCCCCTTCTTTCCAGAAGGAAAAAAAGAGGTAGAATCTAGTTTCTTTAGCAGAAAAAATTCTGACTTATGGGGATGGCGAACTTTGAGGGGAGGATTTTTTTTTTTTTTTTTTTTTTCAGGAAAAGTCCTGAAACTAAATGTGTTTCCAGGAATGATCTAGCTGTTCGGTTTTTCTGTTGCAAATCAGAACTCTGGGGTCACTGCGCAGAACATTGGCGTTTTATTGGGACTACTCGAAACAGAAGAGCTACACAGACCAATCTCCAGATTACAGGGAATTCGAGGGGGCCCGGGCTGCACACCCAGCCCGCATGCTTCTGTAACTGAGAAGTGTGGCCGCTGATACTTCTGGAGCATTTCAGTGTATGGGACACATGCAAAGCCTTGTTGCCTGTAATTCTCACAGCCCCTGATCCCCATTTTACAGGTATGGAACCCGAGGCTCAGGAGGTTAAATTGGCTTGCCCAGGGTCATGTGGCCAGTACCTGACGGAGCTGAAACCAGAGCCTAAGTTTTGCAGATTGTTTTAGTCCCGTGAGTTTTGTGCTTCCGCAGGGGTACCTTCCTTCTGCAAGAAGTAGCTTGGAGGGCACCCCTCGCCAACCCTACGCCCATTCCGGTGGCCCCCCGCCTTCCAGAGCCCTGCCAGTATCGCTCTGGCCATTATCAATATTTTCTTTTGTCCACTCACTGTTTATACTTAAATACGCATTTATTTTGAAAGGAAACGTTGATATCCACAAAGTCATGAGTTTGATGGGCCAGTTATGTGTATTGTAATTAAAACTGTTCTAATAAACGCTGTGTACCTCTGAAGTCGTCTGTTGCGTCGTGTCTGTGGTCTGGACCGTTTGGGGGGCAGTGTTGGGCTGGTCAATATGCCTTTTGTTTGTGGACCAGGAACTGGGAGCTGAGCAGGCCCCTGCCAAGTACTTGTCCAGGACTGTGTACGGCGGTGGCGCCAGGATCGCAACCCAGGGCAGCCCTGACCCAGTGAGCGCCCACCTCTGTGGACTGCCCGCCTTCAGTGGGGAAGGAGAATGGAGTCAGAATCTCGGAGCGAGCCCCGAAGTGTTGATATTGACGACCCGGCCGGTTCAAGACTTCCCGCTGTATAGAAACCAAACTGCTGCTTGACCAGAGACATCGCCCCCTCTCAGAGCCATGGAAATTCTGGGTTGGCGTCTCTGGGGAGACCTCGTGCTTCAAAGGGGCCACAATGTGAAGAACCTGTGTCCTCGGAATTCAGCCTACCGGTCCCTGCAGGGGAGGCGACGGCCGCCTACGGCTGTGCCTGTGAGATCTCAGCCGCGGGGCTGCCGTCCTGTGTCCTGGGAGGACAGCCGCACCTGGCGGCTGCCGCACGGACCCCGCGCCGTCCGGCCTGGACTCGCGCGGGCCGTGCGGAGCAAATAATGTGCTTTGCCTCTTGTTTAAGTCACCAGTCTTATGTTCAAAATTTAAATAAAAGTTTTTCCACTAATGGAGATTTTTTTAACCTGTCTTTTTTTTTTTTTTTTTTTTTTTCTGAACTGTCGAAGTGTGGGAGACCATGAGAGAAACTGAGGTGGTCAAGCTACTCCGAGGTGAGGCTTGGCCGACAGGTGCTGTGGGAACCTAGGAGCCTTCCCCAAGGTCTGTGCTCTTGGGTGTGACCCTGGCCTCATAGGCAGCATGGCTGGTATTTATTTGGTGTCAGTATTTTAGCTGTGTTCTCCTGGGGGGCTGTCTCTGTCGCCAGCCTTCTCCTTCTGCAGGGACACCTTTGCCTCTGACCACCCTCCGTGGCTTCCAGGGGCTTGTGGACTGATGTGGGAGCTATGCGCTTTTTGGTCTGTGCTCCTGGTGACCACGGGGGCGAGGGGCTGATGGTGGTTCATCGTGACTGGATGTGGTTGGGAAACTAGAATATTATCCCTATTTCCAGCCATTGAATTCACACGTGGATTTGGGGGAGGTGTTCCTCGACTGTTCGGATCGTGAACTGGAGGCTGTTGTTTGAGGCCGAGCAGCCAGAGTGGATTGTGTGGTTTAGCATCTCCAGCAGGAATGGATCTGGGAGGAATTCGCTCCCTTTTTGCCAGGCCAGAGCCCGCACTGCCCACTGCCCACGGCACGCCGCCTCGGAGTGGCTCCAGTTTCTGCCCTGCACTGGCTTGGCGAGCCTGCACACCTTCACTCGGCCCTTTGGGAGAGTGGGCGCCTTCGGGGTATCCGCTGTGCAGCACTGTTGGGGAGGGGGGTGTCTCGGGGTTGGCACCATGCGTGGCTCTCAGTGAGAAGCACGGAGACGCTGTCCCTGGCACGTTCAGCCTTGGCTCTGAGCCGCTTGTGTGCATGCGAGCCCTGCTCTCTGTTAATCTGCAAGGTCTGCTGGAGAGAGATCTCTGCTTTTCGTACGTTTGTCGTCCCCTGGTGCCTTGTGCAGGTCAGCCGTGCAGACCTCCTGGGCACCAGCCCCGTGAGTGAGCGTGCTGCACGGCCTGCACGTCGCAGACAGCCCGCGCTCCCCCCGGGCAGCACCGCACGAGCAGAGGCGATGGCGGGATGACCCCTCACCTGGCTGCAGACCAGTGGGCCGCACGGTGTGAGGAGCAGGCATCGAACACAGGTCCCTTGCCTCGAGGGGCAAGGACTGCGAAGACCACCCAGGGGCCCGAGTTTCCCCGGAGATGCTCTCAGAGTGCAGAGACCCGCAGGCCTTCCCCGATGAGCTGGGCCTCTGTTTGCTTATTTATTTTCTTAACTTGCATCTGAGAGTGTCTGAGCAGTTGTTTCTTCCCTTTATGAGCTGAGCACTGCCTTTACTGTAAACATTTCCTAACACCACGCATCTAATAGGAGTGACAATTCTAGGATTCCTTGCTCGAGGAAACCCACAGCAACCAAAAGCTACTGTGACCCGAGGAACTTTGATTTCAGAAGTTTGCGCTGTGGCCTCGTGCGTGTGGGAAGTGTCCTTTGGTCGAAGGACGCCTCACCCTACACTTGGGAGCTGCTTGGAAGGGCTGCTCCCACCAGGTGGGAGGTAGAGCTGGGTGATGTCCAGAACCTTCCAGGGTGCAGTATGGCCGGCACAGGCTGTGGGGTGTGGCCTGAGGGCCTCCTCGTGGCTTTTTCTAGAATGCCCTTCTCCCGAATTGGGTGGATCTCATGGAAAAGCCTCCCGGATGTTTCTAAAGAAATGAGACTCCGAGACCAAGGGCACGCTCTCCCTGGGGGTGTTGGTGGCACCTCGGAGAACGGGAAGGGGAAGCTCTGGCTCCTTGGCTGGGTCACCCTTCGGGGGGCCCTGGCTCCTGCTGAGGGCCTCACCAGACAAGTCTGTCCACGGGAAGGGTCACCTGGTGTTTGAATCCCTCAACTCCCGGGGAAAATGTGTTCAAACTCTGTTTGATTTTTTTAAAAATCAGAGTGATATACATACATAAAGAGTCAAATAATTCCCCAGAAATAAAGCAGATTTAGTAGTTGTTGTTTTGTTGTTGTTGCTTTGTTTTGTTTTGTTCTTCGGTCTTTACCTTCATATTGGTAAGCAGATGACTGTGTCATAAATCGCAATTCCTTCCCACCACTTCCCTCCCCCACCCTCACCCTCCCGGCCCCCGATTGCCTGCTCGGAAGGCCCCATCCAGATCCCACACTTGGACTTCCCTCTCCTCTTCATCTCTCCCCGTGACATGGGCAGGGCCAGCGCGACCCACTGACCGCTGCGGTGACAGCCCCTGACACGCCGCTCCGGCCTGAGCCCTGTCGGAGACCGTGGCAGCCCTTTCTGTGTGGCAGGGCAGTTTGTTTTCTCCTGGAATTGTTTCTGCATCTGCTTTGTGGTTTCTGTACTTATCAC